TCTGGGTCTGCTCGAAGGTGAAGACCTGGATCTGCTAGGTGTGGATCTGCTAGAAGATGAAGATCTGTGTCAGCTAGAAGTTGAGCATCTGGGTCTGCTAGAAGGTGAGGATCTGGGTCTAAAAGTGTCTTCCTATGATGATCTTCCACCAAGTCTGTTCTCCAAAAACAACACGAAGTAGACACAGCCACAATCCCTACAAGGACATTGGACCTTCCTGGTGATTCCAGCATCCGGAATGGCGATAGAGAGCAACCAAACCCGTAATTCCTAGTTAGAAAACCCAATGATCCTAGTGGCTGGAGGTCAGGAAAGCTGGAAGAAGGCGAAGAGTCAACTCAAGAAGCCCTCCCTTATCTTCTACTGCAACTCAAGAGAGTGAGGCAGGGTGGAGAGAACCAGCTCATCTCAAGTATCTTCAGGAATATGCTTCCCACCAGAGCCCTCACCCCAAGGTTGAGTGGAGCCTTGACCACTTGACGTCCTCCATGATAGATGAACTACCACATCCATCAGCCTCAGGGCCTCTCTGGATTTTGTAAGCCTCCAGAAAGCATGGGACCAGGCCCAAGGGTTCAGAGGTCCATGTTGACTTCAGATCAAGGGTGTCCAATCTTGGCCACAGTCTCTGGACTTCAGCTCCCAGAATTCCCCAGCCAGCGAACGCTGGCTGGGGAATTCTGGGAGTTGAAGTCCACAGGTCTTAAAAGCGGTCAAAGGTTGGACACCCCTGCCTTACCTTCTCCAATGTTTGGCCGGCTGAATTTGGTCTGCAGGAAGGAATGCTTAGGACTTGTCCTGCTTCCCTGTTTGTAAAAGAATCCAAATTATTTCCAGATTTTCAACGCCGGGATTCAGAGAAGAGACCGGCCAATTGCTGGAAGACTCCTTTGGCACCGCGGCAGAGACCGAAACCCTATCCTAACCACCGCCCTCGCCCAAGCAGTTGCTCATTTCCACCCGAGTTCCTTTCATCCAAGCTCCAATCCGTCACATTAGAAGCACCTTGGAAATCAAGTTGACTATATTCCTAAGAATATCCGGGACGGATGGGTGGGAAATCTGTGTGTGTGTGTTTCTTTGGAGCTGGGAGGCAAAGAGCACCTGTCAAGAGGCATTTTACAGCCTGTCGTTCCCGGAGGCTTGGCAATTCACCACACACACGCACAGAGAGAGAGAAAAAAAAACCACATTAATTTCTGGAGAAGATTCAAGAAGAAGAAAAAGGAATTTCCAGGCACTAGGCAAAAGTCGGACCCTCCGGAGCCAGATGTGCAAGCGAGGTGCATTATCCGGCACGCTCCCTCACCAGCCAACAGACTCCTAACCCCAAAGCAGGGGTGATAATGGTCGGATAATTGCCTGCAGGCGCCCCCTCAACTTGCCAGAAATGTGCAATTAAGAAAAACTGAACAGAACACACTGGAACAATTAAGACAGACCCAGGATGGCAGTTTTGGCGCTTTTAAACAAAAGACTTTTTTTTAGGGGGTGTGTGTGCAAAAAGACAGCTGGGCCAAACCCTCTCGAATTCGGTTCCTCCAAACGCTCCTTGGTGCCGTTTCTCTGATTCAGAGGACCCAACGCTGCTGCAAAGACCGAGGAGGAGGAGGAGGAGGAGGAGGAGGAGGGAGGGGTTGCCAAGGTGTGAACTCAGGAAGGGTAGATGGGGTGTGCAAACCGACAGACACCCCGTTTTAAAGTAAAAAAAAAGGGGGGGGGGCGCGCGGATACGCCTTCTCTTTTTCCCACGGCGCAGACGATGATGTGGGGCTGAAAGACGCTGACAGCTTAAAAGCTCTGCAGTTTTCCGCCGCGCAAATTGTTAGGCAGCCGTCTCCTCCGGTGGCACCCGGAGAGAATCCAGTATGTGTATGTGTGTGTGTGTACGTTAAGATCCTCTTTCCATTAATTGGGGAGCTTGGTCACCCTGCCGACATCTTTCCCCACTGCTTTTTCGTTGCCAAAATGCTGATGCTCTGGGTGACGATTTTGCCAACTGCTTCGACAACGAAAAGGCTTAAAGCTTTTTGGCTGCATACAGCCGTATGTTCCCTAGGCTGTTTTGTTTTTTTTGCTTTTGGGGTTTTTTCTCCCCACCTTTTTAAACCAGGGGGGAGTGCTTGTAAGTTTAAGAAAAGACACCTTCCTTGCTCTCTGGGGGTGTGGGGGGAACACCTCAAGGGGGGGGATAAGTGGATCGGTGCTGACTCAACCGGAGGCCTCTTTCCAATTAAGCTGGCAATTTAGCTGGAATTGAATTTAAACGGTCCCTGGGTCACCACCGAGACGATTGTGGTCTCTGCGCTGGACTGAACCGATGGAAGGACCACGGATGAGAAAGCTTGAACCTGCCGTGTTTTCGGTTCTGTGTGCACGCCTAACGATTTGGGGGACGTCTTGTCTGCACCCCCGTTGACATTTTCTCCCAGCAAAAGAAGAGAAGAGCATCATTTTAGGCTCTCCCAAAATCAGTTCTGCTTGAGGCTGGATTTTTCCCACCCGGCTCCAAATCCGAGGACAGGAACGAAAGAAATACAATTATTTCTCACCCCTCTAGTGTGCAGAGAAAAGTATCCGGGCTGTTGCGAGAGGTATTTGGACCGTCTCTCCTGGAAACCTGGGATTTGAGCTTCTGGGACAACCAATGGACCAGCAAACTGGTTCCTACTGGGAGACCGAGCAGAAACGGACCCACCCCGGCTTCGTATCAACCACTCAGCCATTCGAGATTGATTCCCACTCTGCATTTCGGCTTTCCGGTGGATAATTCATTGGATTCACAGCTTTAGGGGAGAAGAAAAAGAAGGGGTGGGTAGGTGACCAATTTTAATTATACATTTGTTCCAGTTCTGCGAGAGTCCGTGCGTACAGATTCGGCCGTATGCAAAACGGCGAGACTTCTGGCTTGTTGACCCCAAACTAAGGACGCGTTTCGTCGCTCGCGGATCAGGAGACGGAAACGGTTTGGTTACGGTGAAACAGCCCGAGAATCCTGTAGTGTCGTCCACCCCTGGCCTTCCCTCACCAAAAATTTCCGACTTTTTTTTTCTTAAAAACAAACACAAACCCCCATATTATACATTGCTGCATTTGGGAAGGGCGGAACGATGGCGCTAACTTCGAGCCCGTAAAGATTTGCCACGGCCGAGCAATTTGGTACGGTCGATTCTGCCTCGCTCTTCGACACGGCCCGCGGAGGACCGTGCGTTGCTGCAGAGGGCAACGAAGCGCGAGAACCGGTTCTCACGGCGTGCGTGTTTGCGTGCATGCATGCATGGCGAGAGAGGGAGAGAGAGACAGAGAGAGAGAGAGACAGAGACAGACAGAGAGCTTGGCGCAAACATGCCACGGCAGCGATAGGGACACCAATGTTTGCTCACAGCTGCCTGTCGGATTTGCAAGTTATCTCTTCGGTCTGTGTAGCATCCACGGCTGCTGGAGTGGAGGGGGCATGCCACACCGGTGGGGTGGGACGGAGTGGGGCAGCCTCTCCCACCCTGTTTTTGGAAGTTTTGCTGCTCTCTTCCAAACACCCCGCCGTGGAGAAGATCTTCAGGGAGGGTAACCGCAAGAAAACAACAACGAGCCCTTTCTGTGACCTTTGATGTGTCAACTACTGATAACCTAGCATCCTAAACAGAACCAGCATTTCTTGATCCTGGACTCTCTTGCTTGTAAATAATTGACCGGTCTCTGTCTGTAGTAGACAAGGAGGCGGCTACGTCTGGGCCGATGAACCGAAAAGGGGAGATGGTTTAGTTTTCAACTAGTTTTCTAGTAGGGACCCACACCCGGATCATCCAAAGGGCGCTGAGGATCCCTTTGGCCTTGGGGAAGAGTGTCTGCATTTCTTGAGGTGCTAGTCAGGAAGCTGAACTGCACCCCAACTCTCGGTCCTTCCTCGGGGACATTACCCTGGTCCTGTACTGTACATAAGCGCATCGTTCTGGGTGCGTTGTGTGTTTGTTTGCGTAAAGGACTTGGGGACCTTCGGCCCACCGGGAGCCATTTCGGGCTTGAATCTCTGCAAGGTAGAAATGGGCCTAAAGAGACGAAGAGACAGGAATTGCCAAAGAGGGAAAAGCCACTGAACTCGCTACTGTGGAGAGAACATACAAGGCGTGCCGTCCGCCCACCGGCTCCGCTTTGGCGTTGCCGTAACGTCTCCCACACGGACATCGCTGCGGTTCTGTCCCCCGGAATCCAGTTAGCGAAGTTAAAAAAAACGAACACGGCGGAGGGAGAAGACAGAGCATGTACAAAACCTGGCTGCACTCATCCCTTACTTCCTAGATCTATTTAAAACCGTAGGACGCGGGTAAAGATGTCCGTCACTACACAGGCCCACATCGGGACGGGGAAGGGGGGAAGAAATACCCTCCGGAAAAAGGGTTGGTTTTTTTAAAAAAGGGAAACAAGGGGTAGAGTTCAACCGTACGCCGCTGCTCCACCCCAAATTTTAATACCTTGACTTGGAGAAAAAATAACGCTACTACCCCCATCGACGCAAGCCAAGGTCTGCTCTTAGGAGAAATAAATAGAAACCTTGGCTCTATCGGCTTCCCGTGGAAATTCGGACGGCTTCTTCTGAAATCTTGGCGTCTAGCGACCGAGGGCAGGAAGGCAATGCTCTTTCAACCCGGAGGAAAAAGTTACGTTCCGTCGATCGGTCTTCGGAGGCTTCTTCCTGACGGGAGGCCCACCTTGGTTGGTGGTGGAGAGGTCTACTGAAGGACATGCCGTGGGAGGTCTAAAACCGAGGACGGGGAGCAACCGGGAAAACGTCGTGGGAGCCGTCCGGCGTTAACGGGATTGGCAGATCTAAGACGGAGCAGGTGCCGAACGGAGTCAACCAAGGCAGCGCCGAGCTCAAGAGGAAGCGTTGGGTGTCCTCCAGTGCTTTGAGGCTTCCTCTGCACCCTGGGCCTTTCGAAACAAAAATGGCGGTCCTTCTCAGAGGGCTAAAATCCTAAAGAGGCAGTTCTGATGTCCATGCATCAAATACAGGTTCCGGGCTGGGCTGGAGGTTGCTGTTTCCTGTTTCGTACCACTCCCGACTTGTCTTTGTAGGTGATCGGCATCTGTTGTGAAATGTCCACCAAAGCGCTGGCGACGGCAAGACCTGGACGAAGGAAAACACATAAACAGACACAAACACGCACAGAGAGAGTTGCAGAGCAGCTACACACTCCAGAACAGTGCGTCTTAACTTTGGCTACTTTAAGATCTATGGACTTCAACTCCCAGAATTCCCCGGCCAGCACCGGTGGACTCCAACTCCCAGAATTCCCCAACCAGCACCAGTGGACTTCAACTCCCAGAATTCCCCAGCCAGCACCGGTGGACTTCAACTCCCAGAATCCCCTAGCCAGCCCCTGTAGACTTCCAGAATTCCCCAGCCAGCCCCTGTGGACTTCAACTCCCAGAATTCCCAGGCCAGCACTGGTGGACTTCAACTCCCAGAATTCCCCAGCCAGCACCGGTGGACTCCCAGAATTCCCAGGCCAGCACCTGTGGACTCCAAGAATTCCCCAGCCAGCACCGGTGGACTTCAACTCCCAGAATCCCCCAGCCAGCGCAGCTCAACAGACATTTTGGCCTCAACTGCTGTCATAATTTGAGAACTGCCTGTATTTCTTAAATAGCAGTTCACTCCAATTTCTTAATCCGCTTTGTTTAATTAACAAAGTCCAGCTCAGAAGCGGACAAGTGGAATGTTCAATTCTTGAAATTTCTGAGGTTTTTTTTTTTTTTGCAGAGAATTGTGTGTGGATACCTGTCATTGGGACTTCATCCTGCTGGACGCTGGCTGGGGAATTCTGGGAGTTGAAGTCCACCAGTCATCAAAGGGCCACATTTGAAGACCCCTGCTCTAAGGCATTCCTTTGATGTCGAGCAGAAGGGTCCAACCTTGGCAACTTGAAGACTCATGGACTTCAACTCCCAGAATTCCCTAGCCAGCAGGAGAAGTCGAAGTCTTAAAGGTCTTCAAGTTGTCGAGGTTGAGAAACACACCTTTGGGCTGGCTGAAGGATTCTGGGAGTTGAAGCCCACCTGTCTTCAAAGTCACCAAGGTTGGAGACCCCCCCCCCCCGTGATTTAGAAGATAGGGCCGCTGGGTTGTTATGGAGACAAGGCTGTAGGTTTTCCAGGAGGGATTCCCTCCCCTTCCTGGACAGAAAATGACCCCCTGACAAGCAGAGACCAAATGCATCCTGGGAACAGAGGAAGAAGGAGCTTCTCCCAGGGGTAGGCCACCTTGGCTCTTTTATGACTGGTGGACTTCAACTCCCAGAATTCCTGAGCCAGTCACGCTGAGGGGAAAGGGAGAGGTTTCCAAGCTGAGCCATGCTGGCTCAGGAATTCTGGGAGTTGAAGTCCACCAGTCATAAAAGAGCCAAGGTTGCCTATCTCTGGCCTAGGCCTAGGCCGCTTTCTGACTCGTGGACTTCAACTCCCAGAATTCCTGAACCAGCATGGCTCAGCTTGGAAACTCTCCCTTTCCCCTCAGCATGGCTGACTCAGGAATTCTGGGAGTTGAAGTCCATAAGTCATAAAAGAGCCAAGGTGGCCTACCCCTGGCCTAGGCCATCATTTGTCCAGGAGGGGAAAAAGTTCCTCCTGGAAAAACATCCATAATAGATGCCGGATGCAGGACCGGTGACGTCCCGGGGATCTTGAGGAAGGGATGGGGAGGGCCCCAGTTTACCTGGTTGTAAAAGAGGACCCGGGAGACTTACCTGATTGCCCAGGTGGAGGGATCCCACCCAGGCCTCGTGGCAACCGCACAAACACTGAGAGCACCGCCGCCTTGTTGCCAAAACAGGGCTCCAGAGTGATGGGCTTGGGGACCATCTGCAAGAGGGAGCAAGCAGAGGAGAGCAGGTGAAAGATTGAGCCCCCCCCCTTGACAGTTTCCCCCCCACACGGGGGGGGGGGGATAAGCAGAGGCCACACTAACCCGGGAAGGAAGGAAGGTGGAGGAAAGGAAAGATTTAAAAAAGGAAGAAAAGAGTAAAAAAAGGAAGAGGCAGGAAAGGAAAAGAAGGGAAGGGAAAAGAGAAGCAAATGGCTGAAGAAGGGGAGGGGAGGGAAGGTGGAGGAAAGGAAAGATAAACGAGGAGGAGGGAGAAAAGATTTAAAAAAGGAGGAGGCAGGAAAGGAAAGGAAAAGAAGGGAGGGGAAGGGGGAAGGGAAGTGAATGATGGATGGAGGGAGGGAAAGATTAAAGGAAGAAAAAATAAAAGGAGGGAAGGGAAGAGAAGGGAGAGTGGGAAAGGAAAAGGAGGAGGAGGAAGAGGAGGAGAGGAGAGGAGGGAAAGGGAGGAAAGCAGAGGAGGGGGAGAGGAGAGGGGAGGGGAGGAGAGGAGAGGAAGGAGGAGAGCGGAGGAGAGGAGAGGAGGAGGAGAGAGATGGAGAGAAGGAGGAAGAGGAGAGGAAGGGAGGAGAGGGGAGGAGAGGAGGAGGAACAGGAGAGGAAAGGAGGAGGAGGGAGAGGAGAGGAAAGGGAGGAGAGGAGAGCAGAGGGGAGCGGAGGAGGAGGAAGAGGAGAGGAAGGAGGAACTGGAGAGGAAAGGAGGAGAGGAGGGGTAGGAGAGGAAAGAGAGGAGAGCGGAGGAGGAGAAGAGCGGAGGGGAGGAGAGGGGAGGAGGAGAGGGGAGGAGAGAAGGAGGAACTGGAGAGGAAAGGAGGAAGAGGAGAGGAGGGGAGGAGAGGAGGAGGAACCGGAGGAGGAACTGGAGAGGA